TTCTTCTAGTGTATTATTTATTTCAGACATTATAGTCTTCATTTTCATGGTTTTCATGTCATTTTTATATTTACTATCTCTTTTTTGAAGTTCTCACTAAGTTCACCCATTGTCTTTTTAAGTTATTTGAGAATCCTTATAAGCATTGCTTTGAACTCTGTATCTGGTAGATTGCTTGCCTCCATTTCATTTAGTTCTTTTCCTTGGAATTTTTCCTATTATTTCATTCAGGCATGTTTCTTTGTCTCCCTATATTGGATGCCTCTCTGTATTTTTTCTGTGTATTAGGTAGATCTGCTAAGTCTCCTAGTCTTGGTAGTGTGGCCTTATTGGAGCTTACTGGTACCTGGCAGAGCTTAGTAATATAATCTTTCTGATCACCTGAACAAAGCATTCCAGGAGTGTCCCTTGTGTGGGTTTTGTTAGCCCTTTTGTTGTAGTTGAGGCTTGATTGCTGTTGTCCCATCCATGTGTAGAGTTGACCCATAAGCTGACTGTCAGATTGATCACAACCACAGCATGTGAGTTGCTGTATAAAGGCTGACCCCACAAAGCAAAATTTGACCCAGCAGTGTATGGTACCTTCCAGGTCTCCTTTTTGGTGGCCGCTTGTGGAACTAGTCAGATTGTGCTCTGATGTAGTCTGAAGTTCACCACCAGGTGTGTCATTCTGGGGCTTCTTGGGAGGGACTCTGATGCAGGCAATTTAAGATGCATCCTGTGACCTGCCCTAAGCTACTTATTAGGAGCTACAGAGTTATCCACGGTTGGTGGCTGCCTGTGCTCCACTTAGAAGCACATGGAAGGGTCCCAGCTGTGTAACAAGGCCTGCTTCCTTCAGTAATGAGCGTGGGCAGTTCAGCAAAAAGCCCAAGGCTCCACAGGATCTGCTTCTACCCAAAGCTCCCTGTTAGGCTCAGTCACTGAAGGAGTCTCTGGTGGTATGTGAGTTTTGTGAGGCAGGCTCTTTGTGAAGCAGGCTGTTTGTGAAGTAGGTTCTTAGTGAGTCACCATGTAAGGTTGAGTGGTATTCACCAGGCTGATATATTCAAACTTGATGCCGACGCTGGGTCTGAAGTCAGTCAGCAAAAGTCTTAGGGTACACCAAGGCCAGCCACCACCCACCTGGGGCCTATGTACCTTGTAGTAGAGCAGGATCTTAGGTAGTCATCAGAGTGAGGTCAGTAGAGTTCATCAGGTTAAACCATATTAAGATTTAGCTGTGTGGAGGGTGGGCTCTGCACAGCAATGGTAATGCCAATTAAGTGTGCAAAGGAAAAAATGCCCTAACCACAAAGCCACGCAACTCAGTCTCTCCCTGTGTGTCTCTGACACCCCCAGAGTTGGCCAATTTCTCTGAGAGCCTTCTAAGAACTATACCATTGGCCTAGGCTTGCTGCCTCTAACACATACCACAGCTCTGTGCACCATGTTCAGAGGACAGGCCCCCAGGGAGTTGGCAGGATGGGGCTAGTGCTGCTCCCCAGGCTAATGTCATGTGGAGGGTTGTGCTCAACCCAAGAAAGATGGTGTTTGTGAATGGCTTGGGAAAGGAACTCAACACAAGTACATTGGCAGCTGTCTCTACAGCTGTTTTTCCTAAGCCACACAACTCAATCTCTCCCTGTATGACTCTACTTCTCTATGAGCTGCTCGTTGTTGCCAGAATCCAGGGTGAGTGCCTGTGAGTGAGATTTTATGTGCTAACCCTTTAAGAGGGTGCCCAGGTTTCTAGCCATCTCATGTCTCACTCTCCCTGGCAATAGAATCCCTGCTGATTTTCACAGCCAGATGTTATGTGGGCCCCTCTTCCCAGCACCTTTTCTCTGGGGTAAGGAGCCTGGCATGGAGTTGAGACCCCTTTCTCCTCAGGGCAGGCCTATGCAGCTGAGATATCCCTCTGCATTCTCAACCCCTTACATGTTTGTGAGTCCAGCCCTTTCACTCTCTGCCCCTTCTACCTGTGTCAGCGTGACTTCTGTATATCTTTTGTTATAGAACTTCTGTTTAACTAGTCTTCAGATGGTTATCCAGGTTTATTTTTCTATAATTTAGTTGTAATTTTTATATAGTCCTGGGAGGAAATGAGTGTAACTGCCATCTGCTTTGCCATCTTGAATAGAGAATTCTACTTCTAAATGGATTCCTTCAGCTTACAGTGAGGCAACAAAAAAAAAAAAAAAAAAATGTAGAATCCAACAATCCTATTCCTACTTTCAGAAGAAGGCCTCCCAAAATGCCTCTTTGTTTACATGCTAGACAGATAAAATGTGTGGATACTTTTAGATTTTCTTCTAGGTTTTAGCGGGTGCTGCTAGAATTTTTTTTTTCTCTTGATCAGTTAGGAAACATTTCATCTTTTACTTACATTTAATTTTTTGGTGATTAATCAGATATCAAACATTCAACATTTAGAAGTCAAGAATTTGTATTAAAATCTGTATTTGTATCAAAACCTGTGACCTATTGAATTTAATCAAACTCAACTCTTTCAGATATATATATATTTAATTAATTTAAAATATTCTATAAAAGAAAATTGAAACAAGGAACTGGAAATCAGATATATTGTTGGAAAGGGAAAATATGTGTTTGTTCATCCAATGGCAACTCAGTCTATTTTGTATTTTGAAAATAACTTAGATTTCTTCAGTTAAAAATATGCTCAGAGGCCAAGCAAGAGAAGTTTGATCTCAGGATTAGGAGTAATGGGGCCAATATCACATAAAAAACAGTGTTAGAGGAGTCCAGCTTATTAAACAAATTTCTGAAGTTTAGTCATTCAGCTATGGCAGTTCCGCGCTGAGTAGAAACAGGGATGTGAAGTAGGAATTTAATTATCATATCAACCTGTTAAAATATATATGTAAATTAGAGATGTATCAGGGTTCAGTTACAAAGAACTAAATTGCTTCAATTAGTTTGTGTTTTAATATAGGTATTAAATGGTTAATAAAATTATTGAGTTAAATTAACAGACTTAAGGGTGATCTTTCAAGAACGACTAAATAAAGTCAAACTACAGGGTCAAGCCATACAGGAAGATGCTTATGTCTTCTAAAAGCAGGAAGCCACCAACCCTAGAAGCACACTCCACTGCCATACTTTGGAAGCCACTATGATCACGATGGCACCACGTTCAGGAAGCCACTATAATCTGGAGGCCTCTGCTATTTTTGTCAGTTCCAGAATTTCACCATGCTTGCTGTGATTTCCACCAACAGAATAGATGTCCTGTGCCCTGCTTCTTGACTCCCATAAAGCTAATGGTTAGACAGCAAGCCATTCATTAGTGCTGCCACAGCAGGAGGAAAGAAGGAAAAATAATGACTCCATTACTATGCTTGCCTGCAGAAAAGCAGAAGCCATGGGCCTTGAACCTCCATCTCACTTCTACATTCAAATCTCAGGCATGTGCATCTGACCACTGAACCTAAAACATAATGAGATCCCTAACTGCAAGGGATTCTTGGAAATATAGTTTTTTTTCTCCATCTTCTTCAGTACAAGAAGACATACTAGAATGAATGTAAAATGGATGTTGAACACTAATGTACCATAGGTTACTCAATCCCCATACATGTGCTTTTCCCAATTCAACAACTCCACTAAAGCAACAATTAGCAATGGTGATGTTCCATACTGACATACTGCAAATATCTCATACCAGTGAAAATGTACTCACCATCTCCCCAAAAGTGAAACTCAAAGAAAGTTCTGCCAGTCAGTCTGTCCATCTCAAGGTAAAAGTTTATTCCTTCTTTAATGAACTATATTAGAAAGTTACCTACCCATAACTCTTTACACATAAACATCAGAAGAAAGGAATGGGCCTGAGTTATTTAATACTTATATACAAAACAGTACAAGGAAGAAAATATGGCTATTACAGTCTTCACTTCATAAAGCTGCAGTTGCAATTTGTACTTCCTTCCTTCTCTACCCATTTCTCACTCCCTATGCCTTCAGTCATTATCTAGGCAAGTAGAGGCCCTTAATAGACCATGGTAATGCAATATTATTTTTTCTGAGAGATAAGATCTTATACTGACTTCCTAAGGCCACGACAGGGAAAGGCAGTCCTAAGCATGTTCCAGAATAGCTCAAGCTTCAAACAAACTTTTTACTGCCCACATTATATAGCAGCAACCTCAGCTGAATGAGAATGTGAAAAATGTGGTGTTTGGCTTTCTAGCCTGTGCAGTAGACCAAGCACTTCAAGGAGGATGAAATGGATGCAGTGATACACTTCTTTCACCACAACAATTAATTGGGAAAAAGGGAACTACTTTTCCATTACCTTAGCCACAGTAAAAACTGTTCTTCTGTGCATTTATGCATAATTAAGATTTAGCATCTGAGAAAGTTAAGCTTTAGGTACACAGAAGCAATTACTGAAACTTTCAAAGGAATCAAGTTTGGTATGAGACCAACCCCATGAGTTCATAACGAGGAAAGATCATCTCAATGCATAAATTGTGCTTTGACAACAGCTCTCCCTTGGTGCCGCCCTCCCACAATCTAACAATGTGATTTTTCTACATTTAGACCACTGTCATTAGGTTTCTGTCACCTCTTCTCTATTAAACCCATACACCTTGCATGATTCACATTTATGCGAGGCCCAAGAGGAAATTCTTCATTCTTCTTTCTCAAATAATTCATTCAAAGTTCCATGACTTTGAATGGTAAATGGTTCTGATGACCTATGAGAGAAGAGTATGCTTTCAATTTCTTTGAATGATTCTTCCTTAATGTTCTTCATGCTACCAAACTACAAGTAGCACCTTTTGTTGCTTTGCTCAGTATTGCTCAGCATAGATGCAAATTGGGCAATGACTAAGACTGTCATTTTGGCCTCATTAGTAGGACCTGTTAATTGAATGATACAGGAGTAATTTCCTGCAGATGGGTGTGAGAAAGGTTTTTTAAAAGTTCAAATAATCACGAGCACAGGGGAAATTTTAAAATTAATCTGTCATATGATAATTTGTTGACAGGTTAGTTATCGGAAAGACATGGAACAAGAAGATGCAGCAGAAACAGTCAAAACTAGGGGAAATGAGTCATCTGTCATCCTGACAGGATTAGAAGGAAATACATTATATCACTTCACAGTGAGGGCTTATAATGGAGCTGGATATGGGCCACCTAGCAGTGAAGTGAGTGCAACCACCAAGAAATCCCGTAAGTGACCGGGGCTTTTTGTTTGTTTCAGACTAAAGGGAAACATCTTTCATCTTTTAACATTTCTGAAAGCCATGTGAGGTACATAATAAGGAGAGTTGAAGGGGAGTTATGACTCATAGTCGTGCTTCATTGCTTAGATCTGAATTCCAAAACTAGCTCAGAAAATTCTGCATTCACAGTAGATAAATGTTATCTTCCTGTGAAACAAGGCTAAGCGATTTTGACATGAAAAGGAGATAAAAGGATCCAGGTTTAAAAGCTCAGGAGAGGAACTATTAAAATGACACTCCTAGAGCAAAACCCTCCTTAGCTGGAAGGAAGCCTATGGTGCCAGCCAACTATTAAACACACAAGACTAAAATGCAAGGATTTAAGTGAGGAAATGTATTTAAGGCTCCTTGTCAGTTCTTTTCCTTTTTGTTTTGCAGCCCCTAGTCAAGCACCTAACAACCTCAGGTGGGAGCAGCAAGGCTCTCAGCTCTCTCTAGGCTGGGAACCTGTCAGACCATTAGCCAACGAATCTGAAGTCATGGGCTACAAGGTCAGTGTTTCTTTACTCTTGTGGGTAGGCACTCATCTTGAAAACTGTTATTGTGAATGTGTACAATTAATAAGGTATACAAAGACTCATTAACCTATCAGTTTTTTCTCCATCACTTTCTACCTGTATCCCTAGAAAGGGCTTTTCTGCAGCAAGGGAGCCATGGCGATCAGAATCAGTTTCAGCTGCACAAGGCATAGGAAAGGAACGGGTAGGCAAAGACACCATGTTTCAAGTAGAGGGCATGATAAAGCACAGCGTCAGAACCATCAGAGCATAGGCAGTATCCTGGCGTTCTCTCCCCACAGACACACTCTGCTGGCAGATGGCAAAGACTGGATGACTTAATTTGATAGAAAGATTTCCTATTAGCAGAGGAACAGAGTAGAAAAAAATGCTAGGGCCAGCACAGTGCATGGAAAAGAGTTCATGGAGAGAGACAGAAAGCTCCAAAACAGATAAAACATTTTACGTATGGTCATCCTGCTTTGTGTCAGCAAGAGATCTGGAAGTATGAAAATGTTTAGATCGTTCTTGAAAAAAACTTTGTCTTTGATTTTAAAATATATGTGAGCTATATATTGGGTTGGCTGAATTTCAAATTCTAGTCCATACATCAGATTCTATTTCTTGTCTTAAACTCCAGACAGAATCATTAGTTGAATATTATTTGTAGCAGAACTTAAACATATTTCAATGATAATATTTAGACTGAAAAGCATCAGTTAGCTCGCTTTTCAACTACCAGAGATGGTAACATTTTGTATTAAAAGTGAGAGGATTCTAAAGCTTAAAAATAAGAAGTAGTAAGTGGAATATATTTTTACAGTAAGTATAGTAATATCCAGTAAGAATATTTTAAGACCCAAACTGCAGCATTTCTTACAGACTGTAATTGGTATGGATCACAGACACCCTTATGTTCAAACATATGCACTCAAATCTACCATAATCGTCAGGGATATTAAATCTGACCTTTTGGAGGAGGGCAGTTAAGCCATTTTCTGAACCGTTTTCTTAGTCCTCTTTTTCCATACTATTCCCTTCGTCCTCACAACTTGCCCCCAAGACAAGTATACCCTTCAATGATTCAGGGTATCAGGATGCCCGAATAGAGTGACAGACCGTCCAAAAACAAATCTAGCATTATTAGAATTGCAGCAAGCAATCTCTCAAACTGGAGTGGCAAATAGAACACAGGAAGCTAGATGAAAGCTTATGCTACCTGGAAGAGCCATTTGGCTTTAGGCACCTCTGAGGTGAGAAACAACATACAACCTGCAGAATATATGAGGTTTAACATAGTGTCCCACGTGAGATGATCCTACTCTGTTCACAGTTGACACTTCATCTCTGGCATTGCTCTTCCTCTTTATATGTGACTGTCTCTCCGGTCAGGCTATATATGAGTGAAGGCAAGGACCTTGTCTTACTTTCATTGTTATCACCACTGCTTCTAGAATGGAGCAATTGGTGAATTAATTTTGACCCAGCTAGAGATATCCATCAATATAGACAGATGTTTTTGTTTGTTTATTCAACTTAGATATCAGGTAGGGCTATTCTGACTCTTGAGATACATATACACTTGGATTCATTTCATATTCCATTCCCTGTGACATTTTGGAACCCATCTGTATTTTTCTCCAGCTTCTCATGGAGCTGAAAGTATATGGCCATTCTAGTTTCTTTGATTTCCTATATCTTAGAGCATACACCAGATATGGGACTCAGCCTTTTTTCTATGATTTCCATAAATTAAAAAGACTCACACATAATGGCTTGTACTATCCTCTCTATATTTAACTATGCTTGAAATTTTTCATAATAAAATAATTAAGACAGAAGTAGCATACATTATGTCAAATAAATGTTAGACTTTATGGAAATTTGGAGGAGAGATTGTAAACTAAAAGACACATGACATGGGTAGACATCTGAAAATTGCTATAATAAAATTTTGTTCTTTTTTTTTTTAACTATCGTCACTGTGCTGTACGTTATTTCTTCAGGACTTATTCAAGATCCTGTTCCTTTTTAATAAGTATAGTTGGTATACAATATTATATTAGTTTCAGGTATACAATCCAATGATTTAACATTTATATACCTTACAATGTGATTACCACACCAAGTCTAGTAATCACCTGCTACCATGCAAACATCATGATATTATTTTTTTAAGTTCATTTATTTTTTTAATTTATTAATCATGTTTATTCTATTACAGTTGTCTCAATTTTTCCCCCTATACCCCCCTCCACCCATCCAATCCCCACCCCCTGCTCCCAAGTCAGTTCCCACTCTATTGTCCGTGTCCATGGGTCATTCATACATGTTCTTTTTCTAGTCCCTTCCCTTTCTTTCCACCATTGTCCTCTTTCCCCATCCCCTCTGGTCACTTTCAGTCTTCTCCATGTTTCCATGCCTGTGGTTTATTTTGTGGAATAGAGTCCACTTATAGGTGAGATCATATGGTATTTGTCTTTCATCAACTGGCTGATTTCACATAGCTTAATATTCTCCACTTCCATCCATGTTGTCGCAAAAGGTAGGAGGAGTTCCATCTCTCTCTCTCCCTTTCTTTCTTTCTTTCTTTCTTTCTTTCAAATGCAGGTTGATTTTATATATATATATATATATATAATAAATTTCAAATTTAATTATAAAATATTAAAAACTTTAAAACCATTGTAAAATCTCAGCAATAAACCATCATAACACCAGCACAGAAATAATCAAGTATATCAATGAAATAAAATGAGCATTCTAGAGACAAATGTATATATCTTTCTAACAATGTAATATATGGTTAAATCGATATTTGAAATCAATGGGGAAAATAAGGCTTATTCAACAAATAAGGGGCATAGACCACTATTACTTGAAATAAAACAAATATAGAGCCCTATTTCACACAGTTTACAAGAAATATTCAGGTGAATTAAAAATCAATATGTAGAATCTATGGAGTTTTAGGAGAAAATACAAATTAATATTTTTCTTACCCTGAAATAAAATATTCAAACCCAGAAGCTATAAAGTAAAATATTGACAATATGACTATATTAAACATTCAAGACTATACAGTAATATACATATAAAAAAGTTAAAGGACAAGTAATAGAATAGGAAGGTATTTGCAACACATCTAAAAAAGGATTAATGGTTTGTTTTGGGTTTTTTTAGGGAAAAAATTCTACAAACATTTAATCAGAAAATGGATAAAGAATACCAAAAAGTCACTTAAAGCTTTTTAAAAATAATAGAAATAGAGAAAACATACAAAAACAGATTTAGTTCCAACAAATAACAAAAGAACAATTAAAATAACACATCATCATCACAATCAGATTACTACACATTAAAAATATTGGTAATAGCAAGTATTGGCAACTGTGAAAGGAACCGGGTATTCATAGACTCTTTTTCTTCCTCTTCTTAAAGCAGTCCCTTTAGCATATTTTGCAGTGCTGGTTTGGTGGAGGTATATTCTATTAGCCTTCTTTCGTCTGGGAAGTTCCTTATTTCGCCTTCCATTTTAATTGAGAGCCTTGCTGGGTAGAGCAGTCTTGGTTGCAGGCCTTTGCTTTTCATTGTTTGGAATATTTCTTGCCATTCCATTCTGGTTTGCTGTGTCTCTGTTAAGAAGTGAACTGCTAGCTGTATCAGGGCTCCCTTATATGTTACTACCTCTTTCTTCCTTGCTGCCTTTAGGATTCTCTATTTGTCTTTGATATTTACCATTTTAATGATGATGTGTCTTGGAGTGGGCCTCATTGGGTTCCTCTTGAATGGGACCCTCTGTGCTTCCTGGACTTGTGTGACTTTTTTTCTCCTCAAATGAGGGAAGTTTTCCATCATTACTTTTTCAAACAGGTTCTCTATTCCTTCCTCATTCTCTTCTCCTTCTGCTATCCCTATTATACAGATATTGTTACGTTTCAGGTTTTCCTGCATTTCCATAAATGCCTCTTCATTCTTTTTTGAGTCTTTTTTCATTTGCTTGCTTTTTCTGGAAGCTTCTTTCTACCTTGTCTTCCAGCTCACTGATTTCTCTGCTTCATCAGCCTGCTTTTGATTCTTTCTACTGTGTTCTTCAATTCAGACATTGTATTCTTCATTTCCTCTTCCTATTGATTGTTTTTATGTCCTTTTTCATGCTCATATAGTTTGCAGTAAGTTCCTCATAGTTTTCCTGTAGTTTTTGGTAATTCTCTGAGCTACTGAGCTCATTTAACTTCCTTAGAACCATTATTTGGAACTCAATATCTGATAGTTTACTTGCCTCTATTTCATTTAGTTCTCTTTCTGGGGATTCCTCCTTTCCCTTTGAGTGCGAGGTATTTCTTTGTCTTCCCATTATTTGTGAGACTCTTCTTTTTTGTTTCTGCCCCTTAAGTTGATCTGTCTTGTTTTCCTGACTTTGTGGTGTGAACTTCTATAGTAGGAGACCAATGTTTTTTCTTTCTGGATCTCCGCCTGATGTCAGATTTCATCCTGTCCGACCTTAGGCAGTCTGAGACTTCCAGGAATCTACTGTCTGCAGCTTTCTCCTTCAGCTGTTAACCTAATCACTCTGCACTCAGAAGCCCACCTTAGACAGCTTAGGGTGGGGCAGAGTTCCTCCTGGGGGCGAGTTTATTGGATCCTCTCAAGCTGCAGCCATATGGGGGAGGAGTCAGCACCGGGATCCTGCCAGCTATTCTCTACATTCTCTCCCCAAAGCCTCCATCCCCAGTCTTTCCTCAAGTGTCTCCAGACCTCTCTGCACCCGCTTTAGCCAGGGATCTACTATCTGTGGCTGCCACTCTGCACTCAGCAGGCAGCTTAGACAGCACAAGTCGGGGTGGAATTCCACCTGGGGGCAGGGCTATTGGATCCTCTGATGTTGGTGATGCTCAGGGGGAGTGTTCTCTGCCTGAGCAAGATGGCTGCTGCCGCAAGGGGGATGAGTCAGCACCAAGATCTCACGGGCTACTCTCTCAGTTCTCTCCCCAAAGCCTCCTTCCCCAGTGTCTTCTCAGGTGTCTGTAGTCCACTCTGCCCCCGCCTTTGCTAGAGACCAGGGTAAGTGGCTGCAAATAAAAATTTATGTGTTGGCCCTTTAAACAGTTCTTTGCGTCTCCTGCCGCTTGTCTCTGGCAGAGAGCAACCCTGCGGCTTTTCACAGCTAGCTGTTGTCTGTGTACTTTTTGGGCTTTGGTGTTGTGGGCTAGAGATCCCTGCTTTTGGTTTAGATCCTGCTCTTCTCGGAGGGATCCAACTGGCCAGTTCAATATCCTTCTGGGGTTGCCACCTGTGGGCGCCCTGCCCGCCTTCTCAAGTTTCTACCACACTCCTTACCAGTTAGCGCTAAAGCTGATTCTTCTGTCTCCGAGGTTACAAGGCTCCTCTCACTATTGTTCAGTTGTTTGTTCCAGGTGATTTCTCCACAATTTAGTTGTAATTCCAGGTTGGCCCTGGGAGGAGGTCAGTGTGACTTCCACTCACTCCTCTGCCATCTTGATTCCACAATAGATTCACCGTCACTCCTTTCACTCATTCTCCACCCCCTGCCCCCATCAACCATCAGTTTGATCTCTGTTTTTATTAGTCTTGTTTTGCTTTCTTTGTTGGTTTGTTTTCTTTTTTTTAGATTCCACTTATAAGTGAAACTATATGGTATTTGTCTTTGTCTGTCTGATTTATTTCACTTAGTATAATACCCCCTAAGTTTATCCATGTTGTTGCAAATGACAAAATTTGATGCAGCCACTGTGGAAAACAACATGGAGATTTCTCAAAAAACTAAAAATAGATCTACCATAACCTAACAATTCCACTTGAGTATTCATGTGAAGAAAATGAAAATAATTTGAAAAGATATATGCACCCCTATGTCCATTGTAGGAAAATTTACAATAGCCAGGATACAGATGCAACCTAGGTGCCCTTCAATATATGAATGGATAAACAAGATCCTGTTCTTAAAAGTGCTTTTCAGCCACTCTATAGCCAGTGGCTTCTCACTGGCACTTGTGGTTCCAACTTCTTTTCACCCAGGTTCTATTCATCTTGCTGACTCCTTATCACCAACTCATCGCCACTGTGGTTTCAGAATCCTCACCCTCTATAATGAAGAGTAATTGTCTTTATTGACTATTCCCAAAATGCTCAGTTGGTGCAGGTCTTTAATAGGATCCATCCTTTTCAGGGGCATTTGTGAGTAAAACTAGAGAACATTTATTTTGTTATATTCTTAAGCACACTCGCCCCATTATTCTGTTACCATCTGATATGTAGATTAGCTGTTTCCAAATTATGCCTTTGAGGATAGCACTTCTGTAGTAATGTTTTGCTTAGGGAAATCTCTTTGGATAATACACTGCTCTTAGTTTTTTAGGTAAAATTTGAGAATATTCCTGACAATACATTAGACAATTTCCTTTATGCCTAAAAATAGCTGTCATCACAACTGCCAATCTATAAATGTTCAGATTTTCAAAGTACCTCCTGACCTCCTTACTGTGAATGACTATTTCTGGCACATCTTGATAACTCCTTAACCTCCTTATTTTTCTCATTCTTATTCATCTTTTCTGAATCAGGATTTTAAAATGAGCTAAGAGTCTCTGAAGCACCTGAGACTAACCATGAATTTAATGTATCTTTTCATTTAGTATAAATACTTACTGACTCATAGAACTACATCTCCCTGGATGTATTAATAAAAATCACATTTAATCTCAGACTCCTTTTGCTATCATTAATTGATTTTTTTCCTCTCTTACCTTTTGTTCTTAAGTCTCAACTGATCCAAAAATTTATCTTCAACTCTGGATTTTACAGCAAAATTAGATATGCCTTACTGGCTGTATTTTTCTTTGTCATAAGGATTGTAATTTATTGAACCATAATAACAATGTCTTCTAAAATAGTCACTCCCCTGTCAATCCTCACCAATTTACATACTTTCCCATTGCCATATATTTTCTTTCTAATTACCTCATGTGGACGATCGGAATTCTAATTCATTACACTGCTACAGCCAAAATGAAAAGCATAAATTCTGATACGTCATATTTTAAGCCAAAAGAACCTGCTAATAGACACTCTTAAAAAAGTGTTTCTGAGTCCCCAATTCTTGACTAAAGATCCACTCTGTATATTTCTTTACCATCAAGTATGTTTGCTAGTACAGTACTTATCACACTTCATTGCATTGTTACCATGTCCACTATGCATTAGACTGAGAGTGCTGTAAGAACAGAAACCATGCGGTCCTTTACTCTGATGAATCTCCAGTATATAGCACTATGCCTGGCCCACATAAGATGCCTAATAAATATTCCATAATACTTTTATCACTTTGCAACCACATGGAGGATATGGCTTCCTTTCCTATAAGAATTTCAGTAGTTACAATTATTGCACATGTTATACATTTATACAGAAATTTCTTCTCTAAAGTAAATTTAAAATCGTGAAAGATAAAGGAAGTGAAATGGAGGGCGCATATGTTACCAGAGTATAGAAGGAAAAGTCAAATACATATTTCAATATATAAAAATAATGTTTTTATAAAAGTATTTTTTCATGTATGTAAGTAAGTCCAAGCTAAAAACACATTTTTATAAGAAAAAAAGTATTATAAACTTTTGTCTAGGTTCCAAAGCCAGTTCATATTTTATGAAGCAAATGTGAAATGCTGACCATTGACAGTTAACAATAGTGAAGTAGAAGTAGCTTTTTCTTACCGTGTTTACCAGGTCCTGTGTGGGGTATTTAGCATGCATCTTCTTACTTTATTCTCCTAACAAACCATAAAATAAGTGTTATTATCTCTACAGTAGAGGTACTTGAGGTGTATAAATGCTAGTAACATGCCCACATTTGCCCAAACAGGAACGTGTAAGAAATTGTTTTCGTCTTGCAGATTTGTTTTGAATCCAGATCTGTATGATGCAAAGCCATTGCTCTTTCCATTGCAAAGCAATCATGTTATTATATCAATTATGAAAAAGCACAAAGAAAACTGAATAAAAATGCATTTTAACATATCTTAACAGTCATTTGATTATTAGACACACAAAAAAAGTTTATTGGAGGTAAATGAGTAGAAACAATACAATATAGTGAAATAGCTCTGAGCTGATCATCAGAATATGAGCCTAATGTAATCTCTGCCCTAACTAGCCGCATGAGCTTGTATAAGTCACATTACCTCTATGGCCTTAATATTTTGATATGTAAACATCATATGATTTTGATATGATCTGTATCCTAATTTGTTGTTCTGAAACCCTGCCATGAATACATATTCAATTCTAGCACCATAGATAGAAATTCCAAAGGCTTAACTTTGCTATCCAGTGTATCCAAATACCAGTTCACCAAAAAGCAAGCAATTGCAAAAGTAAAAATAATAAAAATTTTAATTTGTCAGCCATTTTCTACATTGTTAAGAGTTTACTATTTATATATTTATCATTTTTCTACTTCTTTCAAATAACTTAAAGATGACATCTTTGACTACTTCCCCAATGTACTGTTTATTTCAATAACCAGGAATAAAAGACTCCCAGTGATCTGCCCCCTCACTATATACTTCCCTAGCCTCATTTTTCATGTATCTTCCCAAAAATGTTCTCTCCATTCCATGGTCCAATGATATGGTTTCTTATTGCTTAGATGTATACTTTAGTCTTATCTTACCTCTTCCTGTGTAAGCTCAGGAGTCACTTCCTCTGAAAAACCCCCAGACTGAATTAAAATCTTTCTTCTGCACTTCCGTAGCATCTTCTGTTACTTCTAGTTGCAGCATTTAATAACATACATTTCCTTGTGTATCTGTCTAAGCTATAAGCTCTTGTTCTTAGCTCAGAATGTGATATACACTAGTTAATAAACATTTGAAATCCTCAATGAAATATCAGATGTTTAAACCCCTGTCATTATTTTTAGGTTTTTTATAGGCAAGAGGGCCACAGCAACAATCAAGTTATTGAAACACAGAAACCTCAAGTAGTAGTTCCACTTCCTGATGCTGGAGTCTATATTATTGAAGTTAGAGCATACAGTGAAGGAGGGGATGGAACGGCTAGTTCCCAAATCAGGGTACCATCATATTCAGGTAAGTTTGGACATACTAGGCTTAATTTCATGACCACCAAAAATGTCAATATGATAGAAACCTCATTAAAATTAATATGATAGATTGCAAGGTTCAGAGATTTTGAAGCATCTCTTTTTTCATTTTAATTGCCATATCATCCTCTGATTAATACAAACCATGGTAGTCTGCCCAAAACTGCAGAATTTCTAAAAATCCAGAAAAGAGATTACATTTTCACTTAATGTTCTTAGTTGTAAAACTCCCTTACCTTTCCTAGTCCTAAGCAGTAGTACCTTGTCTTTTGGGTTTTGAAATACTACTTTTAAACTGGTATTGCTATAGGTCGACATACCTATTTCTCTCTTTTCTTGACTAAATTTATCACTAGATAATGGAGAATGAGGGACTGGAAAGTTCAAAGGGGATGATTTCCAAAATTAAAATTTGATCATGTTTATTGATTTCAAAATAAATTATAAATTTTAGTGAGCATAATTTTTGTTGTTTTGGGTTTTTTCCAACTTTGACAAATAACATTGTATAAGTTTAAAGTATACACTGTGTTGATTTGATACACTTTATATTTTGCAAAATAATTACCACCATAACTTTAGTTAACACCTTCATCAAATCATTTAACTGCAATTTCTTTTTTATAGTGAAATAGAGAATATTTAAAATCTACTCTCTTAGCAACTTTCAAGTATATAGTATTGTTAACTAAAATCACCATGCTGTACATTAGATCCACAGAAATTATTCAAAAATTATAGTTGTTAGCAATATTAATAATTTCTAACTTTTACCGAGCCCTTATTCTATGTGGTATGGTGATAATTACACTACTTACATTATCTTATTTAAACTTAGTAATAATCATATGAGGTAGAAGATATTACATATTCATATTTTACAGATAAAATTAATTATCTTGCCTAAAATCACACTAAGTGGAAGAATCAGGATTCAAACCCAGATATGCTTGTCTCCAAGGCCACACATCTTCACCACTGCCATCATTATTATACCCGCAAGGGAAAACTGATTAAACGAAGGGAAGATTGCACAAATTTGCATAGTACTAAAGTAACCATTTCACTGAGGTGATCAAAATAGGAGGCAACAGATTTAATTAAAATGCAAATGTCTACCTGAGAAAATTTTAAGAAATTTTCATTAAAGCCTTGTAAAGTGCTTAATAAACATTTAATTACTGACTAATTATAAGCATTATTTATTGAGCAGTCATCCCCAAGCATTGTCAGCCTAAAAAGAAGTGCCAAGTGATATCCTATACGTCTCTGCATGTGTCTCTATTACATTCAAAATATTTATTTATTTCATTTAAGACTGGAAGTATTACATATAAATTTCTTTGATTCCACTAAGTGAGAAAGGAGATAAATGTAGGAAAGAAAATAAGAATATATACTGAAAATTTGAGGAAAAGAAAGTTGGCATAATTCTTATAAGTAAATTCTTGCATAAAAATACAGATGAGATGAAGGGATATTAGTGGGACAATTGATAAAAACTTGAATAATGTCTGTAGATTAAGTAATATTATGGCAACATTAATTTCTTATTTTTTATTATACTGTACTATATAAGAAAATATCTTATTTTTAGAAACTATACACAAATGTATTTAGGGGTATAATTCCAAAATTGAGTGGTAGACTTTATTACTAATCTATCATTAAGGTTTTAACCAAGGTCAATTATATCTACAATTTACTCTCAACTGGTTCAGAAAAGAAAGTATGTATTTATAGAGAGAATAATAAAACAAAAATAATAAAACATAAACATTTAAGGAACCATTATGAATTATATTTGTTCTATTCCTATAACTTTTTGGTACATCTAAAATTTTTTCAAAAGATAAAATTAAAAGTAAAAACACAAAATTCAGGAAATCTGACTTTTTCAGAAATTCAGATAAAAATATGTAAGAAAATATGTTGTGGCCACACAAAAATTAATATACTTTATAATTCATTTATGAAAGCATAGTTTCAAGAGCAAGAAAGGTAATAATGTAGAGACATTGATTAGTTCACAATCAGTCTGTTTAAATCTGAATGTTTTACCTTGAAGAGCACTTTTGAAGACTAAAGATTATTTTGAAAAGTGAAAGAGATGACAACACTCTTTGCTTCATAATCTCAAATTGCTAATAACAACAAAAGAGCTCTTACTGAGCCATATACTTATGGTCTTGGTATTATACTAGGTATTTTCCATATGTTGTCTTATCTTTATAGCAACCTCATGAGTTAGTAGTTTATTATTCTTTAACCGTCCAAGGTTTCTTCCATACTCTAACAACACCAAATTCTAAAGTAAATTCATCTGAATTAGGTAAACCCCAAGTTGGAAGTACTTATAAAGACCTTGATTCTCCCATTTATATTTTAATTAAATAAAAACTTCTATTTCATAAAAACCAAAAAGGTCAACTTCCATGTTTTAGTTAAAATACTTTGTTCAGTGCAACCATTTCCTGGGTTTCCATAAAGTGAAAACTCATACTATTGTGTATCTTAGACCATAAAACATGAGCAGTGATTGGTTTCATCCTTATTTTTCAAAAACTAAAAGACTAAGCAGGTGAATGACTTGCTCAAGTGAAATATCTAGTTAATTTCACAGCTGGGACTAGAACGTAGTTCAATGTTTTTGTTGCTTTGTGTTTTGTTTTGTGTTATTAATCCAAAATAATATGTTTTTGTTTTGTGGATTTTTTGTGAAATTTGAGATATAGACTCCATTTATCATTCTGCAAGTAAGATGTTTTTATGAGATACCATGTAAGTTAATTTAAAAAGGACACAGCCACTCCCAAATAAATAGAGAGGATGTTTTCAGTTTTTATTTATTAAGTATACACATAGCATTCTACAAGGCTTTGTCATCATGCCATTCTCTACAAGTCACAATATATGTAACATTCTCTAATGTATTGATTCATAGGTTTTAGTAGTGCTTTTGCTGTAAAAATTTTCAAAGCAAAGATTTGTTACTTTTGTATGTGTGTGGCTTACCAAACAAATGATTCTTCAGCTCTTAAGTAAACATCTAAAAAATAAATTTGACTCTATTTTTATAATTAAAATCACACCCAATATCCTGTAATACTTACTCTGGCCAGAGAGTATACCTTGACAGAAGAATAATTCCAAAATTGAATGGTAGATTTTATTACTAATCTATCATTAAGATTTTAACCAAGGTCAATCACTGTTTTAAGAGAGGCAATATAAAAGAGTATCTGATTCCACAAATCCCTAGCTCAGTGACTTTATGCTAGTTTTATAATCTTTCTAAGCCCAGTTCCCTCATCTGCAACAAGGGGATAAATAATAGTACCTAATGCATAGCAGTGTTGTGAGGATCAAATGAGATAATATGTATAAAGGGCTTAGCATACTGCATGGCATGTAGTAAGCATTCATTAGTATAAATTACGATGAAGACACTTCAGAAGAGTTTTGGCTTGAAAATCCATTCCTGAGGTTAGATCTAAGGGTAGTATTTAGTTTGTGATTATGCAGAGCAGTCAAAACTACTTCAGATCAATCAATCCAGGTCAGTCAGTACTATCAAACAATCACCTTGTACATTAACTGCATATAGTGCTTTGGTCTCAAGAAGGAAGGACTTCTTTAAGTAAGAGTGATGAAAGATAGCTCTCCTTTGCCAACTTTGGTATGAGAATGCAGAATTTAAGCATACTCAACTAAAATGTCAACTCAGTCTAGGACCTTTAAATAAATTAAATGATATGTTGTTATTATTAAATTGAAAAATTGGCTAAAGTAATTAAATTTTAAATTCTTATTGCCACAAATCTTTATAAATTATTTTTGTCCATACCCTCAACTATTCACTATAGAAATTCTTTTATTATTCACATGTGCAATGTGGGATGTTTTCCCTCAGTGCATCATTGGTGGCACTTAAAATCTCTTTAGATGCATTTGGTAGACATGGCATTGCTTTCCTAACACAGCACTCCCAAATTTTGGGAACCCCAGACAATGTCTTGTTTCATAAATACTAGAAACACTCTCATCAGAAACAAGACCAATGTTGCACTCATTTATCTTATGTATCTAAGAACAACTCTTTCCCACCTCAAGTAAAACCAAAATAACTTGCTCTCTCTACTGCTTCTTTTTTTTCCACAGGTGGAAAAATCACTAGTGCTCAGTCAACCCTCCACACGCTCTCCACATCTTCATCATCAGTAACGTTGCTCTTGGCTTTGATGATTCCTTCAACCTCTTGGTGAAAACTGCAGACTTAATTTGCTTTTATTTGCTTTTCCTTAATAATAGCAGTGAATAGTGTAGTGTAAGTGGAGACCCAGGACACCAAGATGAGCTTTAATGACTTGGGACAACACATGGTGCACTTACAGGAGGCTGGGGGGGAATGTTACTCATTCATCAGGTTTTTCTTTGTTTTTTGTTAATAGAAAGGACAATTCTTGGTCCAATAAAAATATGCAGATTGTTCGTAATGATTATTTTTAAGCAAATGTAATTTCTGTCAAATGTATTCTTTACTTTTTTATATGTTGGAATTTGACTTTATAACTAATGACTTTAAGTGTGTGCCATCCATTTGTTAAGTGGTTTATAGCAGATATGTTTCAAACACAAATACAAAATTAAGAATAAAAAGTTTGGTTGTGACTCCAAATCTATTCTTTTTCATTTTCCCTTTGACCGATATTTCAATTGACAAAATGGCAGGAGATATGAAAAATACTTAAGTTGTGTGGTCCATTATAGGATAAGTACACAAAAGTATTCTCAAAAAATACTGTATGATTACATAGTGAAATAGCAAAATTTGTCGATATGCTATTCTATGTGCATCCCTAGAGCAAGTTATTAGGGTAGGGAATAAGCCATTTATATTAGTGCGAGATAAATAGAAAGTGAGTCCAAATGAATCTAAATGATGTTGTTTTTCATCAAGTACGATGTTATGTAGCTGCAAATATAGTAAATGTTTATTTTTAATAATGAAAGATAGTTTAAAGTCACAAAAATATGATTATTAAAACTGCAGTCACTGACTTGCTGCGAAGGATGCTAACTTGTAAATGACAGGCACAGCTGATAGACACAGCTTCCCATTTCCCCACCTACTGCCAAAATACAGGTTGAATTAGGTCCAAGGTTTTCTTCTTATTGCAAATAATTTAAAGGACAATGAAAAATTGTTCTGCAAATAATTATCTGTGTGTACAGTCTATACATTAAAATGGTTCAAGTATAACAAATAAATTTTCATTTTTAAAGACAATTCTATGTATCACATATCACTTATAAAATCTTACCAACCATTAGAATAAAAAAGATCTCTAGGATAAATTGATTTTTTAAAAATAAAACTGTGGAAACATGGCCTCAGTACAAGGTGAGTCCCATTTGCTATTTTGAAGAGTCAACGTGGACCTAATTGATCCTAGATGGTTGTTAGAAAGGGAGGGTAAAAGTTTCCAATTGGTGATATCTTATCAACATGAGTTCTAACCAACATGAGAAGTTGCCAGAGTTTACATCATACCCAAGAAGATGCCTGAGGGATAGTTATTGCAAAGGCATATGCCAAAATAATTGCCTGGATGTTAACAGGTAATATTAACATGAGAATAAAGAGCAACTTCTCATAAAATCTAAAGCTGCTAATTCTGCTTGCATCTTTAACAGCAAGCAAAATGAAGTATATTGAGCTCATGCTGGTGACTCTAAAGTGACTTCCAGTAGAATCAGAGGAGAGATGGGAGTTTCTTTTCTGAACATGCTAAAAGATTGGTTTCAGAGCCACAGTACAACTACTAATGCTGGTTACTCCTTCTCTTTTGGATGAATTATGTCCAAGACACCCCTAAACAAATAAGAAGCAATTTAAAAGACTATTCTGCTTAACAAAATTATTATAGTACACTGCATACAGTGAATACTGAAGTCAGTGAATAATAATGACCAAGTGATCCTTGAGCACCTCCTTTGTAGTCAGAGAGGCTGGACTTTGCAGATAGAGGAATGCTAACTATTAGATAGACAAAGTATGAGCTTTCTCAAGTGTAGTATAGTATGCAGGAGCAGAATGTGCATCTGAAAAAATGCAGCAAGAATATTAAAGAATAGGCAATAATTTTTACTTCATATTTGATTAATCAAACCATTTTCTTCATTTTCCATGGTGTTTTATACAAAACTTAGTAGAACTCTTATAAAACAAAGCCCCCAAAGATATAATGTCAGTATATGCCAAATTCAAATTAACCAATATTTTCAGCTAGCTGATGGATGGTACATATCTGACAGACTACTGAAATATAGAATGTCCAATGTTGTATTCTTGAATCAAAGGTATGGGATGTTTCTATTCAACATGCACAGAATATGTATTTTGCACCATAAACCTATTTTTAAAAATAGGTTTGAAATGTTTGTGTACTTATATATTGCATACTTATTACTTTGTAGAAAACAAAACAGCATTCCTTATCAAAGCACATTAGTTTTCAGCTGCAATATTGAGTGAGCTTTTTCTTGGATGGGATCATAACCACACAGTCTTAAATCACTAAAGAGACTGTATTTTTGTATAATGTCAATTGAACTATAAAGACAAACATACTCCTCACAATTAAAAATTCCATGAAGGTGAAAGTTTTGCTTATCCAAATTAAGGTACTGTGGACCCCCTGTCAAACCGTTAAATATATTGTATACAGTCTGTATATATGTACTATATATAAGGGTATATACCATGTGGAAGGCACAGTCAGATAATAATTCTGTGTACTGTTCTTGTAACATTAGATCTTTTTAATAAATAATTCTCTTTTTATTGACTTTTATCTTCTCTCCTGTCAACTACATGAATGACATTATTTATTTCACACAAAACACAGTATGCTCATGATTATGGTAATGTTTTCACACTGAAAAGCGTCATTATCCATAGATGACCATGGTAGGTTCAACCTGAAAATTGAAAGCTATGTCAAAGGAAAAGTAAACAAAGAAGCAGTACAAATGGGATAAATTCATAGTTAGACTCATGATTTATATTTTCTCAGGAAGGACACTTTATTAAATGACTTTTTTAAAGAGTTTGTTAAATGCATACTTCAGCTTCTGTTAGGAAGAGTATATCCGAATCGATCCCATGTACCATTTTCCTAGGTAGCCATTCACTCTTTTGTTCTCCCTTAGCACTATGTATACATGTCTATTATACCAGCAGTCACGTTATAATGATTTGTTTATGAGTGTTTCTCCTCAATTATCTAGTCCCTGAGATACAACAAAGGGGACTATGTTATATTTATCTTAGGTTTTCTCTCACCAGTGCCCACCACAGTACCTAGCACAGTGCCTAGCACATATCGAGTTAGCAATTAATTGTATTTAGTTAAAGGTTGGCCTTAAAAATTTCTTTCAGAAAGGACCTCCCAGACCTGAGTCATTTCCCAAATCATCTGGGAATCCAAATTTTAGAGCTCCAATTCAGGAGGTCAGACTAGGAAATCTTTATTTTCAAAATCTTCTCAAACACAAAATGATATAACTAATGAAGAGAATTTGGAAATAAGTAGTAAAATTTTGTATAGATTTATCCTTTGACCTAGCTAGCAATCCTGTTTCTAGGGACCTATTTCTAAGAAGGGCTAGCAAAAACAAGCAATGTTATATGAATACACAAGGCATAAAACAGTGAACATATGCTCACTTTTGTATAAAAAGTGGGAAAAATATAGACACACATTACCTAATATTCTCTAAAAGAACTAATGGAAGAATAAACACTGATAAAACTTAACTACTGAAGAGAGAGAGAATGGGACATGGGAACAAATATATAAGCAAGCTCTTTCTCAATATATATATTTCATAGTTTGAATTGGTAAATATATTTATGGGAATCAAAATCAAATAAAAAGGAAAAACAAAGCAACTTCCAAAAAATAAGAATAAATGGACTTTAAAGAAGCTAAGTATATATCAGCTGATGGTTAATAAGTTAAAGTTTTTCTTTATTAGAAGAATTATAACCACATAGATAAGTATTTTAAGTCAGTAAGTTGACATTATGTAAGCCCTAATGAGACTTACATATCAAGGACAACACACACAAACAAATGTATAAAATCTTAAACTATATTAATTCGTCATCTTGCAAGTATCATAACTAGTAGAATAGTTTTTGAACTAGTCAACATATAAATATAAATGTTAAAAGTATTTATAATGTAAACTTTCCAGGTAAGAGATACACATATATAAATATTTTTAAAGTAAATAAAAACGGTAATCTTTGATTCAAAAATGTCAGTATGAATTCATAGTTTAATTTTTTTGCTAAATAATCTTTTTTTTAGCATTGTTAACTGCAAAGGCCTAGAAGAAAAATGAATACACTTAATGGACAAATAATACAAATAATGAATAAATAATGAACAAATTTTTGTGAAGAAATGGTTGATTTAAAGCATTTGGTAGAAAAGGTACAAGATGAGCCTGGCCTTCTTATTGTGCCTACAGAGACTACCATTTAAGTGAGATAAATTGAGCTCAAAAAGAACAAAGAAAGCAGTAGATTAAAACACATGTAATATCTAAAAAGATTTCACACAAATATTCACACAAACCTTTGGTTATCTTTACTGGATGCAAGAGTCATCATTCTGAAAATTGTTATAAAAATATAAAAAGGGAAAGAATCAAATATGCATCCCACCTTTCCTGTATGGACTATATATCAGGGTAATTAAATAGTTTATGAAGGATAACTCAACTTTATAAAAGAATCACAGCTAGTAAATGCAAAAGGAATAATAGAATTAAAAATAATAATGTAGGACACTGTTCAGGATGCTGATCCAGCTTTTAACATGTCAATAACATGGGGTTGGGGGAGGGAGGAAGAGTGGGATTCATCTTTAAATGAAGCTTAAGAAATATAAGAAAATGCAAACACCTTGTTCAAATTTTGATTCAAATAAATTGATCAGGGAAATGAGATATGGACTAGATAGAATATGATATACCATTTTTCTTAGATGTAATAATGTAGTTATTTAGATTTGTTTAAGAAAAATAATGTCCAACAACATGTTGGCAAAGATTTACTTTAAGCCATCACAGAGAAAGAGCAAGGAAGGAAGGAAAGAAGGAAATGAAAAAGGAAGAAAGGGAGGGAAAAAAATGAGAAGAAAAAAAATTTTAAGGAATATGAGTGCACCTAAGAACACATCAAACGACA